ATACTATCCTTAGTCAAAATCATAATTCATCTATCATCCTCTCTTAGGAAAAAACAACGATACTTACAATAACTTTATTTTTTTAAATATGTTCTATAGGAATGATGTTCTACCCTGACGTGTTATCGTACTGAATGCTCAGCACGTGCCAACCAAGTGAGTCTGTCTCTTATACACATCTAGATGTGTATAAGACAAAGAGCTTGCAGGGCTCCCAGCCTCCCGTATTGCCCGGGAGTCTCCAGCCAAGGAATATTGGTTCATCTCCCTATCTCCGAGAAATTCCACATTTTCTCCCGGAATTTGAATTTGTATTTCTCCAGGATTTTAACAGATTTTCACAATTAGGTTTTATGCTAAGCTAAATTTTCTCATTCTTATGCATTAAATAAGATTTATTGAACATTCTAGCCAGAAATATGGTATTAACAGTGACTTAAACCTGTCCAAGACTGTTTGTTTTTATATTGAACTAGGTGTATTTAAGTTATATAAAGGCCCACCTTAAAATATGCCGCTCCTGTGGGGCATGGTGCTATCACTAAAAAGATGTTTTTAAACAGTCATGATTATCCTGTTTTTCAGAGCAACAGATCGTGGTATCGGAGAGACACTTTATCGAAACAATTACTCAGTTTGGTTACTTAACCGTCTTTATATTGGGTTTTCAATCCTAACTATAATATCAGGTATTTAAAAAAAAACCCGACCGACCGACCGACGACCCCGATTTTCAATTTAAGGGCAACACAACAATTTTCTGGCCTAATTAGACGACCCGCAGAAAAAGTTATCCAAAAGTCGTAGGCCTCCCACTATTACCGGGAAAGTAAGTTTTTGTCCATCTCTTAATTTGTATAGTGTTAATAGTCTATTTTTTATTTAAATGTTGGAATGGTACCTTGAATATAAATAACCAGGGAAAATCTGAGTAGGGGCCATGTAACGTGGGAAGCACCGATCGGGGGTGGGGGGAGAGCAGCAGTGTTGAGATTTTTGTTGAGAATTGCTTGAGACCATAGACACTGGTACATGGAAATTAAATAAAAAATTAGTTGATTTGGAGTAGGCTTACGGAACCATGCTCCCCTCTTTTTGGACTTTCTTCTTTTTGTCTGGGTGGGTACAGCACCAGTGCTCCTTGGATCTGCCCCTGATGACGATTGATTGAACGATTGCTTGATGATGCTTATTTATGCCTACGTTGGAAAGGCTTAACTTCATCGGAATTTAGATCAATACATTCATGCTTAAGCATGTAACCTCAAGCTAATAAATGAAATGCACGTACGAATGACAATTTATGCATAGACCTAACTTGCACGAAAATATTCAAATTAAAAATGTGTGTGCAAAAATATTAGTTGATTATATCAGTGCTGTAGTCGCAAGATATTTGTTGACATTGTCCCTGGTCTAATAATTAAAATGTCTTTTCAGTCTTAAAAATTAGGCTACCTCTAGAGAGCGAAAATACCCCCACCCCGCCCAAATTTTGATCGCTCCCTGGCCCAATAATTCGTTGTTACGCTACTGCTAAAAGAGGCTCCTAGTCTCAGAAAGCCACAGGGCCCCCAGCCCCAGCGTTACGCCAATGCTCAATTTACAAACAAAAATAATATACTGTACAGTACGTCCGTGGTGTACAATCATTATTTTAAAACACAATTTGCCTTGAGACCACTTTTGGAGTTGAACCCCCCCCCCCACTCCCGTGGTCTCAGAGTTCGGCCTCTAATTAGAGAATTACATTTGTGTTAAAAAAAATGATGATTTTTATTTGTGTACTTTGAAATAGTGGTCTCGAATTAGATGGGGCTTCGAATTATAGAGGTGCAAGAAAGTACAAGATATAGTTTATTTATCTTGTATTGTTCATTAACCAAACAATAACTTAATCCAACTTAATAATAACAATTAATCGTTCCACCATTTCACAAATATATGTATTCATATAAAATTTGTTTCCATTTAAAGCATAATTATAACTTCTGTGGTCAATTATAGCATTCCCAACCCTGGGTGCTTGTCTGTGCCCACTCCTACGACAAGTTTTCCTCTGTTAAAACCAGAGCAGCTTTAGTCGGGAAGGGTAGAAATAGTGTCGAATTGTAGGTCTACCACCTCATTTTCAGACATCCAGATGTTTCCAATTTTTAAAATAGCTCATCTCAGCCCCAACCACAGTTGGGCTGAGGTGGGTGGAAATTTTAGACGGACACCGGTATGCATTTAATAGCTAACCGAGGGTTCGACACTTCTGGGGATTTGCCTCATAATCTGGGAGTGCTTAGACATCCGTTGACCTTCCTTGGCTAACGTTTCATGTCAATTTAACATGATCCTTTGCATCTAATACATTACCACCTCAAACAGTTTCTTCCTCCTGCCTTCAGTGCCTTCTTCCTGCCTTTGCATCTAATGCATTACCCCCTCAAACAGTTTCTTCTTCCTGCCTTCAGTGGTGATAGGGTGCTTAACCCAGTGGGCAGACCGTTAGGATGGTGTCCCATAGGTATCTTAGTCGATTCTGCAGGAGGCATGCTTTTTTTTATTGATCCACTTGGGCCTACTTTAAAATATGAACTAGACCTATGTTAAAATGATCATTTTGTATAGGTGCATTATGTGCTGTTTCCATAGCAGCCATACTTACCGTATAGTAATCGTACCAGCGACTATCTGGGAAGTACGCCTCTACACTTGTTGCGCCCTAGAAATTTAAAATACAAAACATAAATTGTTGATCCACTTGGGCTTACTTTAAAGAAAAAATACGAAATAGGCCTATGTTCAAATGATCGTTTTGTACAGGTGCGTTTTGTGTTGTTTAAATAACAGTGATATTACCGTGATATACTATCCTTAGTCAAAATCATAATTCATCTATCATCCTCTCTTAGGAAAAAACAACGATACTTACAATAACTTTATTTTTTTAAATATGTTCTATAGGAATGATGTTCTACCCTGACGTGTTATCGTACTGAATGCTCAGCACGTGCCAACCAAGTGAGTCGGGTGGGTGGGTGGTGTGTGTAAAATAAATGTCTACAAAGTTTCGTTAAACCGTTCCACACTACCATAATATCTTTGAGAAATAACTGAGATTTGTCTAAATATGGTGGTGACGAGGTTGTCGTATCCCGCCTATATATTGATGAAGCACGCGTACTGTCACTTGTAGACAGAGAGCTTAACAGACCATACCTGACCAACAACAGGTGAGATGAGAAGGGCTGGTCCCCATAGGAACTGCGTATCAACTGTGTGTGTGAGTGGGTCGGTGATAAACCTGAAAGAAATGCAAAATGAGCTTCTGAATCGGTTATACTTTTTCCCAGCCAATATATGACAATGGACCTTTCGGAAGTGTCAAACTTAACAACTGACCAATCAGAACAGGACCATGTACGCGCGTTGTCTCACAAACATACGTGTTGTCCCACATGTTTTACACTGTGTCGTTTTTTGGGACCTTAGTAACAACATCCTAGGGGCGGGGCTTAGCGGAAAAGGTAAACTCTACTGTCTGTAAGGCTGGCAGCGCAATTACTTCGCCAGACGGTCGTCGGCCGACGCGATTCTATGAAGAACGCAGCGCCACTTACGCGCGCGCAACGAATAGTTTTTAATGAAGAACCGTTCACACTTCCAACGACAATCAGCAGACGGTGTCGCGTCGTCAGCGCTCACAGGGAGCGGAGTTGGATTCGTTGTACAACTGTCGTACGATGCAGTGAGTGGCCGGCTTTAGGCTTATAATAATATAACATTTACTACACGTTCGTCACATTATAATGATATCCAAAGCCGACGGATATTCGTCGGTGTAAATTTAACATGTAATCGGAAATATTATTTTACGTTTTGTATAAATAATGACTCCGTTCGCGCGCATAATAAAATATATTTAAAGGGTAGGGAACTCGGTCTGATGTTTTTCAAAATGGCCGACATAAAAAACAATTTTTTTTTCTCATATCCCGGCTTCTAATTAATATATTATAAGGATTCAAGTCATATTCGAAACGTTTTATCTGGTTTGCTTATTATGACTGTAGAAAAAAAGTTCGCAGTAAGTTTACAACAAATTGCGCTTGGTTTATAGTCGATGAACCTATGCGCGCCTACAGTCGATTCTAGTTTTTCTTGTTTTAGAATATAGAATTTAACATTTATAACAACTTTCTAGATTTTAACATGGCAGCAATATTGAAATCATATTTTTGCGAATAACTTTACTTCCAATTTATGTATTATTATGATTCTAAAGCCCTTTCTAGATTATAAAATTTCATTTGACAATTCAACAAACTGTCACACTTGTGCACTAGTATGCCCCTTGTATGAGTTTATGATGTGCCTATATATGGTCATGAAGTTACATCATCATGACCATATTTAGGCATGTCACATGTTTTTTAAATAAAATTTGGTACAAAAAATTACATTCGCGAAGTACTTAAATCGGAAAGGAAGCGTTACAGATTCATTTCTTTCATATTAAAGAACACAAAAGTTGATTTTTGACGTCCACAATTTTGTCATGAAGAATTACAGAGGGCGCTATTACCAGAAAATGGCGTGTGTGTGGACGAATGCTGTTGCCAAACTGTCGCTGATGACGGCTTCAGAGCATTTTTTTTTATATATAATTTGTATTTCTCAGTCTTTGGAGGCACAGTATAGAAAGGACTGCATTATTGGCTTCTTTTTATTAATTTGGTATAAAATACTCAAAATGCAACGAAGGTTGAAATAGGCCTACTTTTGAGTTTACAATATGAACAAATGAAAATATATATAAAATAAAACATCAAACACCACACATTAAAAACACCAAACTTTAGGCCTATAAATTCAATTCAATCTATATACATTAATTAATTATTTTAAATATATATCTTTTGGTACATTTCTAGTTATACATAGTCTTATTTATGTGTATTTATTTGTCATTCAGATATAACGACTCTATGACAATGAACATTATTTTTTTCACGTTTGGGCAATTCTGTCTTGGAATTGTATAGTTACTCCTCCAGTTTTAAAATTTTGTATAGGCCTGTAGATCATTTTTCAAATGGTCGATTTTGAAATGTTTTTTTTTTATCAACATTTTTATCAATTTCATTCTAATCACCTTTTAAAAAATATGTTTTTTGAACTTACCTTGCCCATTTTGAAGTAACATAAAAATTATCAACTTAAACACAGAAATTAGTGTATCTAAAAAATGTTTACCCATCATTTTATTTACAGCGAATAATGATAGAAACACTTCCAGCCACTGCAAGTGTTTTATTATTTTTATTATAATTATCCAGTTTCAAAAATCAGGGTACCACATTTTTTTAATTAAATAATTTCTGTGCTCAAGTTTATGTGTATGCTACTACAAAATGAGCAAGTTACTTACAAAATTATTTTTCATGATTTTTTGTCATTTTTAAGGGATCTCGAACAATTACATCTTTATAAGTGATCGATTTCTAATATCAGCATGACCTTAAAAAACATTTTTATCAATTGTATTTTAATTGTTGCGCTTTTGTATTGCCAAGGAAAACAAATAACAGTTGTTTTATTGGACAAGTATTGTTATCGTAATTGGTTTGTCGTATATCACTGTATTTTAACAGCATCCCATTTCATGGAAAAATAGGCCTATGGTGCCAGTATCAGTATAAGTTCCATTAGAGTTCTGGTAAAAAATACATATTTTGTTTAATTTCTTGCTAATATTATTTTATAAACGAAATTATCCTACATATGAAAATTTCAAACTTACTCATGCATAACGGGCCTGATGACAGTGGAACCTTTTGTGTGAGCTTCGTGGAATAACGTGTAAAGGTATGGTAAGAGGGTGTAGCGCACCAGAAGGATTTCCCGACTAACGCGCGCCATCTCGTCACTGTACGATGCTGGATCTTGCTCCTGGGAACAAAATATATCGAAGAAAAAAAATAATTTAACACTAAATACTTTGCAATAAGTTTTATTTTGTTCAAATCTGAATGACGAATAGGCCACAATATTAAACTTTAGGCCTTCGTTGTTGTTTTGTTCGAATCCATTTATGAAGGGTGACCCGTCCAGCTTAGACCTCCTACAAGATTGAGTGATATTCAGAGGGGCCCCCTTAAAAAAATGAATCGTAATGTTTTATTAGTGATAAAAAAAAATATTTTGCTTTTACAGGATTTTCATCCATCGTAATCAGTAGCATCCGCTACATCATTGTTATCGAGAGTAGACGGCTAGAAATTTTCGTTTCCTCTAGAATGTATTCCAACAATAATCACATTGGCTTGTTAGGCCCAATATTATAAAGTTGGACATTATTATATTATAACTCTTTTTTTTTTAAGGCGAGTTAATTAGAGCAAGGAATATCCGGTTTTAAATTACCGAGTGCAGAGGTGATACGGTCGTCGTAAATCGAAAGATGGTTACACTTGTCCGAATACTTTTTCTCATTCTGGACAGCCCCACCAACGGGTCAATTTGGAGACCGATATTAAGTCCGAAAACATATGGGACGCCAATACAAATTGGTATGACGCGCACTGAGCGCAATAAAATGATTATATTCCACAGATATGCCTTATATAAGGCACAGGTGGGCGCAAAGTGCGGCCCGACAGCATTTCTTTTTTGTAGCCCGCGAAAACGAATAAACCCTATGTGTGCGTTCCGCCAAGCAACATTGGCTAGAAACACCTTGTTTTTTACGGCCCTTGTTTTTTACGGCCCGGCACCGATCATATGTAAAAAGTAACATTTAAACTCAGAATACAGTGGTGTAAAAGCAGTGCTTGGATGTTTTTGGTGTGTCGTCACTGGAAACATCAAAGTTTGGGTGCGGCCCTTGTTGTTAGATTGAAAATTCACTTTGGCCCTCCGACCGATTTTTATGCCCACCCCTGATCTAAGGCTATCTAACGCTATGAGTTAGAAATAATCATTAAAGAGACTCTTCCTACCTGATATCCTATACCGTTGTGGTTGCGTGAAAATGTGTAGAATGCCCCGAGTTGCATCCATCTTTGACACAGCTCTTCATCCGCATTGCCATTGAAACCACAGATATCGGCACCGATCTAAAACATCATTATCATTTGATAATTTTTATCTTTTATTTTATTACTAATAATAGTATTTTTTGGTACAATAATAATTTAAACTTAAGCTTATTTTTACAATAATATAATTAGTAAAACTCACATAAGGTATACCGAATAAGTTGAATTCAAGCAATCCTGTGGAGAATGGAGAAGATGATTACGGTATAGCGTCGGAAGGTTCAGTGGGGTAACTTTGGGGAAGGAGTATGGGAAGAGGGAAAATAACGGACATGCAGTTATTATTATTTTTTTAATATAAAAAAAATGTTTAAAAAATAATAAATAAGTAGCCACAAAGAAACCGTGCTAAAATAATTCATGCGGTTTGTAAATAGAAGTCTTACGCACGGGCATTAACATACTGCATGATAACGAAAACTACACTTCAGCATAAAATAAAACAACAGAAACCCTATGATTCTATGAGACCTTACTTTTAGATGTTAGCACAGTACATTTAGGCCTATGATATGACGACAAAAGAGAAAGTAAACTAAATAAACCAACTATAACTGGCACTGATAAGAATTTTGAGAGTTTTAAATAAGAGGATAATAGTTTGTACCATGAAACTAAAAGTTGCATAATATACAAAACATCAATTTTTGGGAAGACCAAGCTTTGGCTATTAGGTCTCTCAGATGCTGTTATTGCATTATGAATATTAATTTTGTTTTCATACACTCGTTTTGTGTTGTTATTGTTTGTGCATTTTAAAAATAAATAAAAACAAATATCGTAAATATCACTTTTAAATTACTTACAGACGTTTCAAAAAAAATCTTTAAATTTTCTTTTGGAAGAATACCGGTAGTATATTAAACGCTGTTCACCCAATAAGTTATAAAATATACGAATTACAGTATATTTAAAGCATCATAAGCAGTGTTGTAGCTAACGCCGGTCGGCGCCGGCCGGGTAGGACCGGCACTAGCATTGGGTGACCGGGACACAGAGCAAATTTCAAAAATCCGACCGGCACAAAATGTGTGTAAACTTTAATTTTAATTATCAGTTAAATAATATGTCTCTCATATAATAGGCCTATCCATATATTCCGATGTGGAAAGTCGGAAATTTCGATCCTGAAATTCTTTATGCGGCCTATCTTATACCGGCTATCAACCTATTCTTACATACAATTACAAATCATGGATGGCCGCGAACCGTTGTACGGCAGCCTGCCTGCCAGTTGTGTGTGTCTAACCCCACTCCGTAATAGCCGGTGGTGGCACTCAAAAAATCCGGCTAGCTACAACACTTATCATAAGTAATTTTTAAAAGTTTATACCGTAATAAAATTGGTGGTTACCTAGCAACCGCAAGGTTACATTACCTATGATTGAGTATCGTAGATGGCTCCACTGACTGTTGTTGTCCCCAAGCCAGTGTCCAGCGTACTTCCCGGCCCCCGGGAATGTAGATCTGGTGATTACAATGCTTCGTTTGCCAGTGGCAGAACGTGCAGCTCTAGAACATATAAATTTATACTGTTATTTGACAACGGCTGAGCAGTCAAAATAGGGTTAAGGGAGAATTGTGTTGCAAGTCAGAGTGGGAAAAATCGTTACTGCAATGTACTGAGAGTGTCATCAATTTGTCCTCGAACTTGTATTTTGTTATCTAACCAACAGATTGTATATTTTACTCGGTTCTGATTGGTTAATACAGGGGTCCTAAGTCTCGGGCCCGCAACGTTTATTACATAACATGTATGTAGTGTATGTGTTGGGATTTATATACTGTAATACCAAGTCTTTATGCGCTGTGCATTTTATACGTCTGTTTCGCAAGTCAAACTTCAATGACTGTACAAGTCATCGCATTTTTTTTAAAATGTATTATATAAAATATAGACCTATACAATAACCTATTTGATATAAATCTACGTATATCAAATTGTATAAAAGGCTGCAAAAAAAAATCATGAAAGTCATTTTTAAAATTATGGGTTTTGTGGTCATTTTCAAGAGAAAATACATCTTTAATGCTTACACTTAATATAATTAAATATACATAATGTACTTTAAATAGGCCTATAAATAATAATGTCGTTAAAGTATATACAGGAACGCTATAACACAATCGTTCTTACTGTAGGGAGGGTTGGCACTGTCCCCATCCGTACAGATTATGGACATCATAATGGTTGCCGATGTGGGTACAAGCATCTGGACACATCGTTTTGTCGGCCAGCTGACCACCAAATATTTCTACAGTATTAAAAAATAAATCCTAATTTAATCAATAGCAGCGATATCAATAAGGTAATTTGTATTTTTTGAAAGAATTTATCAGGAAAAAGCTTGTAGTGTAAATGTAAACTATCGTATAGTAGTACCGTATACTGTACCGCTTAAATATCCCCCCCCCCCCCAATTGATGCTAAAATAAACTCTATACACGTAGGCTTTCATTACAGGGCAGCACAATTACAGGTACTGTATAATCATCCTGTATCGGGTCAATCATGAATGAGCAAAACGTCATTGACGTCAACTTTAGAGGTCATGGCATTATGCATGAGTGATTTTGACACGATTCTCGGCGCAATTATTTGAACACAATAGTCCTCGGAAATGAATACAATACAGTACAGCTAGTGTGGATAGTAGCTAGACCAAAAACTATTGTTGCCCAACCAACCCACAAAAGTAAAAAATTAGGCTCCGATGTTGATTCAAAGCTTTATAATAATGTGGCAGCCCAAGTGGCGAACACATTTTTTTTTCAGTTCAGTTTTTTATTTTGTTATAATCATACACCCAAACCTACTCTTATAGCACCGCTGAGTAGGCCTACTATATTAGGACCTACGAATATTACTACAGTATTAGAATAAAAATTATTAGTTTATCACCCGCTCCCTCGTCACTTTTGGGGAAAATCAGTTTTTTTTTTGTTTTTTTTTTCAATCAACATATATTTTTATTTCAAACGGTCCTTTTCCCATTTTTTTTCACTTGAAAATGTCATGGCTTCTTGCAAATATGTTTACTGGTACAACAAAAACATCTTTTTTAAATATAAATTTGATTCCACTCTTATGACTTTTTATATACGAGTCCCTAACCATTGATTTACTTGTGAACGTCGGTAAAATGGGGGCGGGGTTAGCAAAAAAAAAAAATCATCAGTTTTTTTTCTTTGGTAGGGTGGTAAACTAATATTTTTTTATTGGGCCTTATTAGAGCCTACAATGTTGACTAGGAAATTTTAAATTGATCTAATCAACGGTATTGTTAATAAAATACTGTAGGAAACATACTTGGAACGTAAGGAGGGTAGTTGATATTGTTGTCGTCACAGCCTACAATAGACCCAGTGACGAAATTAGCAGGCTCGTTCATATCGATCCACAATCCATCATAATTTATTACTTGATGAAAATCGACACATTGTTTCTCCCACCAGTCAACAGTAGCTGGCTTGTGGAAGTCTGGGAAAACACTGTTCTTTGGAGGCCAAACCTATGCATAACGAAATAAAGTGCACACAGACAAATTATCAAATCAAATCTCTTTTGGATATTTGGGTGGCTCTGAAAAGAGCCGTTTGGTTTGAGAGATGAGTAAAACCAATTTACTTCTTAGCTGGCTTCTTGGCGGCCTTCTTGGCTGCTGGTTTCTTAGCCTTCTTAGCTGCTGGTTTTTTGGCGGCCTTCTTTGCTGCTGGTTTTTTAGCTGCTGGCTTCTTGGCGGCCTTCTTTGCTGCTGGCTTTTTGGCTGCTGGTTTCTTAGCCTTCTTTGGTGATTTGGTCTTTTTAGCTGCAGGTTTCTTTGGTTTCTTTACCTTGGTAGCCTTCTTTGCCTTGGCAGCGGCCTTTTTGGCGGCAGTCTTCTCCTTCTGAGCAGCAGCCTTCTTCTTGGCCTTCTCTTTCTTTGCCTGTGCAGATGCAGCAGCCTTAGCAGCAGCAACATTCAGCTTAAATGATCCACTGGCACCGGTTCCCTTGGTATGGACGAGCTTTCCGGAGGCAACCCCTCGTTTCAAAGCCAATTTAAGTTGACTGCCAACATTATCCCCAACCTTGTAGTTTGCGGAGATATATTTGGCGATAGCCTGACGAGAAGAACCGTTACGTTCCTTCAAAGCAGAGATAGCTTTGGAGATCATCTCAATGTATGGAGGATGCGATGATACCTTTTTTGGCTTGGAGGCCTTCTTGGTTGCTGGTGCAGACATGATTACTACAGTACTTCTCTTTCAACGACGAACAATTGAATGAATGCAGATTTTACAACTGCCCGCTACTTATACACGCCAATGCGGACCGAGATGTAAGCACTTGACTCCAGCCTACCGCTACGCGCTTAAGTACATAATTGTAAGAATTCACTTAAATCTGTGCGAGAGAACATCAAGTTTTCAATCATTTTGCCTATTAATGACGGTTAATTATACTTTTTATCAGCATATTCCTAAAGCTGATATATTTATCTTACTTTCCATGTATTTTTGTCTCAAATATTATGAGAATTAATTACGGAATTTTAAGACTAAAAAACAGCTAAGTTTTATAAAATAAAAGGAGTGCATTTAAAGCAATATTTATCAATTTTATCACACGAAACTCCAATCTATTTTGAGTTTACCATAATTAATAAGTATTATTCTACAATTACACCAAATATGGTGGAATTTGGTACAATTTCTGCCGAGTTATTACGACTTTTCTAAACAGGTGTAACACACCGCTGCTCGGGTCTTGTCCCGATCAGAGATCCGAGAGACGGTGGGTTCTGGTATGTAAACAAACATAAATATGTGATCAAATTCTGAACTTCTATTCATTATACATACTTAAACTATCATTATAATATGTATTATTAACTATGGAAAGTATATGCCTATTATAGGTTATTGATTTACTGAATTTGTCCAGAAATTGTGATTTTTGTTAGATACCGCACCTATCCAGACGCCATATTCAAAAATGGGATACGTCCTAGATGATCGGCGTTAACATATATTTTAATTCTGATTCATTATATTGTAATTACGGATTGTTTTGTAGGATAAGAACTACTAAATGACCATTAAACATTATATAATTTACTTATTCATCAATAATGATACAACGGCATTATTTTACATTTTTTCGACTGTTCTTAATTCGTAGGCCGATAAGTCCTAGGCCTGGGTGTTGGTAGAATTGGGTTGGAACACAACGGGCCTAGATATTAACGTTCTCCTTACAGGGAGGTCATCGGTAGGATTCTATTGGATTTATCCTTATATATTAACAAATCAAAAATCATTGAGTACATAGATAAATAACACCTAATATCGTTATTTAAATATAGGTAAGATGTATTTCAGATATTGTTGTATAGTTTTCTTTATGACCTGACGTCCTTGAGGTATTTGATACAAAATATACGGTACAAGCTCTGTGTTCACACTCTGATACAGCCATCCTCTGATATTGATACGGTATTGCAGGTAAATCATTATTTTTTTCCTTGGGCCCAAAATATTTAAAAAATAAATTTGTATACATTCACAGAATATTTTTTATAATATTTACGTTCTTGACATTACCATTACACAGAGCATAGATAAGTCTATCATAAAGGCCTACCCGTTTGAAAATAATAATAATAACCTATGATAATTATTGTCTACAATTTATTTAAGTCCATGGTAAATCATAACGGACCAATACTGAGTCATTATAGACAATTATTAAAGAGAATGAAGTATTAATATATATCATTACTTAAAGTATCTTAATTGATATTATTTACCTAAAATAATTACGTTTTAACAGCGATGATGGTGATGATAAAATTGAAAGTATCTGAGTAGTGTCTCAGCATGATAATGAAAAATATAATTTTGTTTCTGTTAACGTAAATACATTTATCCATAATTCTAATGAGTATTTCTGTTTATAATACTTTTATATGATTAATACGATAAGTGTGTTTAAATTTACTTATTTTACCTTACTAAATTGACCTATCAATTACCAAATATTAGGTTTACCGCGAGTAATGTCAGGAAAAATACCAAATATACGCCTATAGTTTAAAGCTATATTTATAAAATATTATATATAATGGGTCTGTATATAATATATAATATATTATATTATAACCTATAATATATTATATTATAACCCAAAAAGCTTGACATAAAGGTTAAGACATATAGGCCTAATAAATGCTACTATAATGAGTGTTAAATTAGTTTGAAAGGGGAATTGACAGGACAAGGCAAAAAAAAATAATTACCGTGGTTAACGAGTTTCCTCAAGGACCAATACAGTAAATCTGAATCTGAATTTACGTAAACTGTAATGGCAATCGAAGGGGACATACGTGAATCAGGACACAAATTCAATTTATAGGGCCTGAGTATGATAATAAGTAAGTAATATAATTTTCTGTTAACGTAAATACGTTTTAGCAATAAGCCCAATGACTATCCTGTTTGTTATGATTTCATATGATTAATTCGGTCAGTGTTTTCAAACTTTATTTTACATAGTCCTATAT